AAAAAAAAAAAAAAGACTGTGACATCCAGTAGAAAGGAACCCTGAAACTGAAGCTTCATTAGCTTCATGGGAAATTGATCCTTTAAAACAGACACAAGCCTACTGTGCCTCTCAAAACCAGCACGCATCAGTAAGAACAAAAGTTATAGGAGGCTGCATCACTGAAGATGTGTTCCTCTCAGGTAAGAGGGATGGAGGAGAGGCCCCGGAATGGCTGCACACCAGCAAGAGCTAAACAAAAGCAGAAAGTGACTTCCACACTGGACATTCAGATTCAGTTGAAATCATCAGGTTGAATCAAAGGAACTATACCACAGGAACCACAGGAACTATACAGACCTACTGGTTTGGTACTGTAGTAAAATTTTTTTTAAAAAAGTGAGCAGGTTCAAGTGGCTCAAGTCTGTTTGATCCTAGCTACTCAGGAAGCTGAGATATGAGGATTACTATTCAAAGCCAGTCTGGACAGGAAAGACCTTGAGATTCTTATCTCCAGTTAGCCACCAAAAAGCAGGAAGTAGAATTGTGGCTCAGATAGTGCATTGTCAGCCCTGAGCAAAAAAAAAAAAGCTAAGGTAGAGTAGCACCTATGCCCTGAGTTCAAGCCCCAGTACGGGTACACAGGCATGTGCGCATGCTAGCGTGTATGCACGTGTGGTTGCGTGTGTGCACCCCCCCACACACAAAAGTACATGCACACTAGCTAGCTAGATTGCTGGAGTTAACATTTGACTTCATGGTGTACGATTGCTGTGGGGATGAGACGCATTTCTCCTTCCATGCCTGACAAGGGATGTATAAAACTACGAAAAGATTGATATATCATATATCTAAGAATATCAGGCCCAAGTGCAATCTTAAACCTATACAATTCAGACACTGAGGCATGGTAGGACCCCAGAATGTCTGCATCTTACTTTTTTTGGGAGGGGGGGGCAGTCCTGGGGCTTGAACCCAGGGCCTGGGCACTATCTCTGAGCTTCTTTTGCTATAGGCTAACACTCTACCACCTGAGCGACAGTGCTACTTCCAGCTTTTCCTGTTTATGTGGTTTCAAGGAATGGAACCCAGGGCTTCATGAATTCTAAGCAATCACTCTACCACTAAGCCACATTCCCAGCCCAGTGTCTCACTTTTACACTGAAGTCCTTGTCGCATGATTCCCCAGAGCAGGGAGCCACAGTGATCGCAGAACGTGGGCACTTTGTAGTTGTGGATGTTGAACTTGTGTGGAATGTTGATTCCAAATCTCTGTTCAGCAATCTGGGGGTAGAACACAAGATGGCAAGAGCCAGTATTTCATACCAATACCTACTATAAAACCCGTCACCCCAGCTCACCAAGCACAGTGTTTCTCTGACACCTGAGTTGGCTGTTACTTTATTGCTGTTACTTTATTGCTCTGGCTAATTACTTAGAACACTTGTTTTCCTTTTTACTTTCCTTTTTTATTTTTTAACGTTTTTCTGTGAGTTTCATCATACCATTGTCACACATGTCTATTTTCATGCATATAATTTGTTTGGATTCATCCCCTATTACTTTTTTTTTCCCCCCCAATTTTGGGGTCTGAATTCAAGGCCTGGGCACTGTTCTTGAGCTTCTTTTGCTCAAGGCTACTGTTCTACCACTTTGAGCCATAGCTCCACTTCCAGTTTTCATGTAGTTAATTGGAGATAAGGGTCTCACAGACTTTCTAATCCAGACTGAACCATGATTCTCACATCTCAGACTTACAGACATGAGTCATTGTTACCTTACTCCTCAGAGCTCTCTTCTCATTAGTAGAATTGATCCAAAGTGCTAATTTCCAGATGACTATGGAAGGGACTCTCACAATGCAGTATATGCATGATACCAAAACCCCACAGAAATGGGGGCTGGGAAGGTGGCTCAGTGGTAGAGCACTTGCCTTGCATGCATGAGGCCCTGGGTTCGATTCCTCCGCACCACATAAGCAAAAAGAAAAAAAGCTGGAAGTGGCGCTGTGGCTCAAGTGGTAGAGCGCTAGCCTTGAGCTGAAGAGCTGAGGGACAGTGCCTACGCCCAGAGTTCAGGCTTCACGACCAGACCCCCCCACCAAAAAACCCCACAGAAATGAAATGCTATAATGCAAGTTTTTAAAAAGGAACAACGGGGCAATAGTGGCGCACGCCACAATCCCAGCTTGCTCATGAAGCTGAGATGTAAGATTCACAGTTCAAAGCCAGCCTGAGCAGGAAAGTCTGTAAGAGTTTTTTTTCTTCAATCAACCAGCAAAAAAAGTCAGAAATGGAACTGTGGCTCAAGTGGTAGAGTGCGAACAACAAAGCTAAGAAACAGTGTCAAGACTCAGTACCAAGCATACCAAAAAGGAAAAAAAAAAAAAGAGTGGTGGGAGGAAGAGAGTGACAAAGACGGAGAAAGAAAATATGTGTGTGTGTGTGTGTGTGAAAGAGAGAGAGAGACAGAGAGAGAGAGAGAGAGAGAGAGAGAGCGCGCACACAGAGCAGGTGCTTAATCAGCAAACGAGCATCCTCTTACCTTTGAATCCACTTTGTTAATGTTGTTTTGGCAAGTGCAGGCTGTAACAATTAGATGATGGCAGCGTTTATGGACGACGCAGGTGCACACTAGGAAATTAAATCCAGCAATTACACATTTATCAGAGGCACAGCGTCCAGCCAGTTATCGGCAGAGTCAACGAAGGCTGTGTTGTGTCAACGTGGCTGGACTCAGATGTGCTGGCGGCCAGCACTGGTGTGCTTCCTACTTCCTTTGTCTCCACCCTAACAAAGACCTTTCCTTGTTCAAATCACAAGTCATCCAGTCCCCAGCTGATTGCCTTTCTCCCTAACTTTATTCCATCCTGCAGAGAATTTGTTCCACGTTGGAAATCTGGACACTTCTGTCTAAATAGGTTCACTGGCATCATCTTGCCTATGAAGAGCATTTAAATTTCTTAGCTTTCAGGCTCTCCAGAGACTATCCAAGCTTCCTGTCATCTTTCTTCCATGAGACCTATCTGCACCAACAAAAATAAACAAATTTATCTTCCTAAAACGCTATGCATGCTTTCCCTAGATCTAAGATATCCTTGCCTAGTGACTGTATCTTAATGACAAGATACAGGTAAAAAATACCTCTCCCTTCTGGAAAGACTGATACTTTCTCTTCCTCCACTGATCCCTACAGCCCTGATCCTGCCCTCCTCCCTTCAAACCTTCCACACGAAGTACATGATGTCTTGTGCAGAATAGACACACAATAAATGTTTGCTGGATGGCTCAATCAATTGTCTGAATACTGACAACTTTTTTTTTGGAACAGTTTTTTTTCTCTCATTTTATAGACCGAGTCAAGCTTATCCTTTAAGGAGGAACCCAAGCAATGAAGCAGTATGAAAATGTCCATTGTTGAAAGATCTGTTAAGACAGGTGGGAGGCTTTAGGATTAAGCACATAAAGACAAGTTGACATATCAGCCAATGTCTCTGCACCCTAAAACAAATCTCATTTTCATCACATTGAGCACTTAGAATAATCACATTGAATAAGCCCAGGGAACAAGGCTTTTTGAATCCACTGTTCACAAAGAAAGATCTTATTTTTTCCTGCTTAGCTTGGCTAATGTATTAATTTTATTGATCTTTTTGAAGAACTTACAGTTGGTTTTACGGTTTTTCTCTATTTTTTCTGGTTTCAATTATACTTTTTCTTTTGTTTATCTGAAACTTAAATTCTCCTTTCTCTATTTTCCTAAGGTAGGCATTTAGATGACTAATTGTAATATTTCTTCTCTTATAACACATGCATTTAATGCTATACATTTGAGTACTATTTCTGTGTATTACATGCATTCTGATAAGTTAGGTTTCATTAACATTTGGTTCAAGGTATCTTTTTCCCAAGATTTTGTTTTTTATGTTCTCTCAAGTTTTGTTTGACTTGTGTGTTAATTACAATGTGCTGGTTAGTCTCAGATACTAAAAGATTTTCCAACTATCTTTCTGTCATTGGTTTCAAGTTTAATTCCACTGCAGCCTAAGAATACGCTTATTGTGTTTTTTTTATTCCTTATATTAGTTAAGGTGGTTTTATGGCTCAGCATGTAGGCCCTGTTGGTAAACGTTTCTTGTAAGCTTAAGATGAGCATGTAATCAGCTGTTGTTGCATAGTGTATTCTGTGTCAGTTTATCAACTACAGTAAGGTGGTTTAGGACAATCATATCCCTACCAAATTTCTGCCAGCAAATATCTAATAACGTATTAAAGTTTTCAACTCTATAGTTGTGAACTTATTTCTACCAGTGTTTGTCTTGTGTATTTTGATGCCTATTGTTAGGTATATACTTGTTAAGCATTGATGTGTGTGTGTGTGTGTGTGTGTGTGTGTGTATGTGTGTGTGTGTGTGTGATTTTTTTGTGCTATTGGGCACTTCATTTCCTTGCATAAAGCAGGCACTCTTACCATGAGCTATACATTCAACTAAAGCTTGAACTCAAGTCTAGTGCTCTACCACTTGAGCCACAGCTCTACTCCTGACATTTTCGTCTCATGTCCATCCTGCCCAGGCTGGTTTTGAACAGTGATCCTCAGATCTTAGCCTCCTAAGTAGACAGGATTACAAGCATGAGCCACCAGTGCCCAGTGTGTTGTTATATCTTTTGGGAGAACTGGCTCTGTTACTATACAAGACCTCTCTTTTTCCCTGATAAATTTCCTGATAATTATCTGATGCCATCTTTGTCTAAAATGTCTACCCATCTGTTTTTACAACAGAAAAGCAATTTGGAAATTGGCTTGTATACTGTATGCAGGCAACCTGAAAGCAGTGTTGTATTTCCCACATATCCTGATAGTTCAATGTGATAAACAAAATTTTATCTTCTTTATTTCCTTAAGTGCTTTTCATGTTTTTGCAGAGACCAACTTTAAACAATAAAACTTTTCGGGGGGGGAGGGGCTGGAAAGATGGCTCAGTGTAGAGTGCTTGCCTCGCATTCATGAGTCCCTGGGTTCATTCCTCAGTACCACATAAACAGAAAAGGCCGGAAGTGGCACTGTGGCTCAAGTGGTAGAGTGCTAGCTTTGAGCTGAAGAACTGAGGGACAGCGCCCAGGCCCAGAGTTCAAGCCCCATGACTTACAAAAGAAGATAGAAAGAAAGAAAAAAAAATTTCTGGGTATTTTGACTTTAGAAATAATCATCCATTCTACACTATCTAAAATATAGCTAAGACCTCACCAAAACTTGAGTTATAACGACATGGATGTCTCCTCTGAATTACAGAGATGTATGTATTACCATATTAACAAAAGGCATCCTGTTTTCTTTTGGTTTATTATTGTTATTATTACTATTTTGTCAGTTATAGGGCTTGAACTCAGGGCTCAGGCCCTGTTCTTGAGCACTTTTGCTCAAGACTCGAGCTCTACCACTTTGAGCCACTGCTCCACTTCTAGTTTTGGAGCAGTTAATTGGAGATAAGAGTCTAACAAGGACTTTTCTCCTGGGTCTGGTTTTAGACCATGGTCCTCAGCCTTATGAGTAGCTAGGATTACAGGCATGAGGCACCAGTGCCCAGCTTGGCATAATTATTGTTAACATAAGAACCAGATTAAACAGAGTTGTGAACATATTTTCTTACCTTGGCATTGATAGCCTTGCTTCCCAAATACTCCCCTGTTCAAGGCAATAGAGAAAAAAAAAACACTATCAGTCAAATATTTCAGTAATAACCTCCTATAATTACGATCCTTAAAAAATAAGTTTTGCTCTCTGGTCACTTGTGAAAAACAGAACTGTGATATGGGTGTGTGTGGCACTGTGTGAAAGAGCATGATTATTCTCTTTCCACAAATAGTAAATGTGCCTAATGCTGGCATTAATTAAAGATAACTGTTGATTAAGCTTATTTTATGCTTTTGAGTTACCACTAGTTGATATGTTCATTTTTATGTATTTTTTTCTCCTAGGATCCCTAAAATTTCTCCATCAGGTATACAGCATACTGGATTACAGTATAGGATCACATAAAGGCTATTTTTACCTTGCACTGTACGTTATACAGTAGAAGACTACTGGGCACTTAGTTTTCTTGCAGAAAGCAGGCAATTTTACCATGAGCCATGCCTTCATCCATGATTTCTGCTCATTATATTTGAGATATGGTCTTGAATTTCTGCCCAGGAAAGCACCTGGGCATGACCTATGGGAGGCTTCCAGGGAGTTAGGACAAAAAGTGTATGCCACTGTACCCAGCTTTTCATTGAGAAGGGGTCTCTTGAATTTTTTCTACCCAAACTGGCCTCAAACCCTAGCCTTAACAATGTTAACCTCTCAGGTAACTAGGATTAGAGGCATGAGCCACCGGTGCCTGACAGGGTCTCACATTTTTACCCAGACTCAGTTTTGACTATAGCTTCCACGATTTATGGTTTAACTAGCCCATGACTCATTAATACCTTTACCAAAATGATCAGAAAAAGAAATAATCTAAAACTTGGATCTGTATATTATTTCCATGTCTTTGCTGGCTCACCATATTAGAAGAGGACGCAAAAAAATCAGATGCTAAAATATATTTTTAACCATGTTTTATTCTGAAACCCTACATCACCATGGGAAGCCTCTAATAGAAAGAGGCTGGGGTGGGGAGTCATGGGGGGAGGGGGATCTCTTACCAGATAAACTCTCTGCAGTGAGAGCAGTAGGTTGGCTGCCTCAAGTAGGTGGCCATAAACTTGTGTCCGTTGATCTGGTGGACTCTCCTTCGCATAGCCCTTTGGCGCTTCCTGGTAAAATGTTTGAAGATTCGGTCTCTCTGGAGAGTGGCTGGATATTAAAAGGAAGGAAAAGAAGTAAAATCTAGTCACACTATTGAGAAAGTCCGACAGTTCAAATACTCAATTCAACATGTCTTGGGGAACCATTATGCTTGCTCACTGAATGACTGAAATGGCTTCCTTTTTGTTTTTGTTTTTGGGTCCTGTTGTGGGGCCTGAACTCTGGGCCTGGGCGCTGTCCCTCAGCTCTTCAAGGCTAGCACTCTACCACTTGAGCCACAGCGCCACTTCTGGCTTTTTTCTTTTTGCTTATGTGGTGCTGAGGAATCGAACCCAGGGCCTCAGGCATG